AAAAAAAAAAAGAAAAAGAAAATAAATTACAGTTAAATTTACCTGTCAATCAAAGGCTGATCTTTCATAATGCCAAAAATTTGAAGAAACAAGACAATCTTATTTAAAACAAAATATAAAAAACCCTTTAAAAACAATAACAAAACCTTTAACAATTTTATTTATTTTTTTTTCCCCCAAAGCCCCAGTAGACAGTTGTATGTCATAGCTGCACGTCCTTCTAGTTGCTGTATGTGGGACGCGGCCTCAGCATCGGCGGAGAAGCAGTGCGGCGGTGCGCGCCCGGGATCCGAACCCGGGCCGCCAGCAGCGGAGCATGTGCACTTAACCGCTAAGCCATGGGGCTGGCCCAATAACCAAACCTTTAAAGGTTTTTTTTCCCCCACTGATTTTTCAGTGTATGATTTAGCCAGGTCATCGGTTTCTTTTCCTCCCTCTTGCCTTTTGGCTATTTTTTTCACCACAGAAGCCTAGAAAAATTTCTTTGTTTATAAACACAAGTAAAAATTAGAACTAATCTTTGTCCTTATTTTTAAGTGCTCGACAGAAGATCTGACAAAGAAAAAACCTGGAGCTATTGTGTAAAATAAAATTAATGATAATGCATTAAATTGCTCATATAATTTCATATTAGAAGAGAGTCAAGAGTGATTCAGTATCGTGGGTTCAACTCACTCAAACATTACCTGTCAGATTATCCTTTAACTATGATTACGGCTTGAGATGAATGACACTTCAGCCTGAGAAAGTTCTTCTGAACACACCCACTTGGGGCTCGTTCATAGTAAATAATCAGGAAGGAAAACACTTTTTTAAATTAATTCTCTACATTTATATTTGTGGTTCTTTACAAGGGGTTTTTCATGTAGCTTAAGACTGTCCTGGAATTAAATGTTTCAGTTATCTCACTATCTCATCTGGACATAAAAGTCAAAATATTATAAACAGCTACAAACTCAAAGACCTACAACAAACGACCACAATAGTAGCTAACATGAACTTCTTCCATTGCAATGCTTGGGCTAAATTAAAATGGTCAGAATCATGTTAGATCTGGCAGCTCAAGGAGGCATTAATGCCTTGTGGTTAAGAACATAAGCTCTGGAGTCAAGACTGGGTTCAATTCCAGCTCCACCAATTACAAACTATATAACTTTGATCAAGATCTTTGATCGCTCTGTGCCTCAGTTTCCTCCTCAACTGTAAAACAAGGAACACCAAGTACCTTCTCCATAGGGTTGTTTTGATAATTAATCAAGATTATACAGGTAAAGGCCAACAATCAGCACTCAATTTTAGTTATGATTATTACTCTTAGCAACAAGATCTACAGAAATTCAAGACCCATAAGAAAAATTGACCCTGGCATAAAATGAATAATTCTATTCAGAAAGTCTACACATTATTTGTTCACCCTAAAGAAGGGGAGAAAACACAAGTTCAACCTATGGTTTTAAATGCAGACTTTGTGAGACTTTACGTCTACTAAAATCTAGACGTCATATTTAACTGTAAGGTACACCTTTCATGTATACAAACAGGAGTGCCTGATAATAGACAACCAACAAGTTGTACTGGGTACCTCTTACGTGCCCAAAACCCCATAAATAAAGGTTTATTGTACTTGGGCCAATTAACACAAATTCAGAAACCCAAACGACAATCTTTACACAACTAGGAATCTATAACCTAAGAACTAAAGTGTATGTTTTTCCTCAAGGGAAAAAGAAACATCTATCTACTGCTTGTTAATGCAGAAAAATAGGCATGACAGGTATCATAGGCTCATTCCCAAATTCTACATGCTGGCTAAAGTGCTCTAAAAACGTATACCATCCTAATAGTTACTCAAAGGCACATTTTGCTAACTACGAATGCAATTCTGATCCATGCTCCCTGTAATTTTCTTTATTTTGCCCCTTAGGTGCCAAGGATACATCTCAGAGTAGAAAAATTACTTAATGCACAAGGGATGAAAAGTCAAATGTCAAACTGCCTGAAAAGCAAGCAAGCCAGCTGTGTAAAAGTGGTATACATTTCATACTAACAGCCCATATTTTCAGACACTATCTAGAGGCAAATCAGAAGCACAAGAGAAAAACGGCCTCAACCTAATAAACGTGCTTGATTGGTAAGAGGCAGCCTGCCAGACACTGCTTCCCTTGCAATAAATCTTACTTCCCATCAACCCACGTTAACCGGCTCCCCATCCCTCATGGAATAAATAAAAATAGGGTCTAATTACTTTTGCTCGCAATTTGCCCAGAAAGTGGAGACACATTTGAGGTCTGCCTTACCACCTATTAAAGCTGGACTTCACAAAAAGTAATATACTGGGGTCCTATGGAAGCAAAACCCTGTGTTAGTATCCCCTCGCCTAGAAGTAAATCCAAGGATATCCTTCAGGATCTGGAGTAGAGAAGGAATGTAAACACCAGGCAAGCTGTGTCACTCACCCCACAAAAAGGGCTTGACCCCGGGGGCTGCAGAAAAAATAAATTCCGCAAGGCCAGGGTACTTCCCGTCTCCAGCAGTCCGAACCCTGCTAAGTCTTCCCAGGATCTCGCATCCTCCCGCCCGCTCGACCGCCCCTCCCCCTCTTCCCACCCCCCACCCCCACTTCTTCCCCACGCAGTTTCCAGGCCCAAAGATTAGGAAGAATGACCGGGATACCAAAAACCGCCTCCGACTTCGGAGTCTCAATTCCACAAGCACCAAAGAATAAACAGAGGAGGCCAATGAAGCTTCAGCGGCTAGGGGAGGTTGGAGGAAGCGCCCGACACGCCAGGCCGCGCCCCCCCACCGCCATCCCCACCCCGGGTTGGAGTCTACCGCCGAAACCTCGAAACCCTTCTCACCTAAAGGGAAAATGATGCCTCTTTCCGCTAAGCAACGCGCCAAGCCTAACCCACCAACCCAAAGCTTTCCCGACTCAGGAGGCGCGTAGGCCCAGACCGCTGGGGCCGGAGACGGGGTTGTGTTTTACCTGATGGGTTCAGCAGTCATGTTTTCGCTTCAACGCCTTGTCGGCTTCAGCGACCGTAGGGCGCCGCTCTGCGCTGCCGGCGCTCGGTTTAGGTAGAAATGCACTGGACTCTTAGGCGTCACTGTAGCTGGTGCTGGATCCTCCCCACAGCTCAAAGGCCGCTACCATTGCCACCGCCGCAGCAGCCGCGGAAACAAAGCGACGCCGCTGCCGCCGCCATTTTGTTGGGCCGAGGCTCAGGCAGGAGAATTGGCGCGTCCTCCCTCTTCCGCTTTCCGTCATCCATTGGCTACCTCCTCCACAGCGCAGACTCTTATTGGCCACGGAAATTCACCTTCTTTGGGGGCCTGTTGCTAAGGCGGTCTACGTCATTCGATCCCCTCTACCTTTTCGTGGGGGTTCCAGTTCAGTCCCATTGACCTGAAAGTGCTAGTGACTTGTTTTGACTTTATTCGGAAACTGCTTTTTGATCCATCTTTTTTTCTTTGACATATTGACAAAACAATTATACTTTACTATATAATAAAACTATATATTAATACTATAATCTTAGTATATTGCTATACTAATCCTTTATCCGGATTATCTCATGTAATCCTTATGCCCCCTGAAGCACATAGATGCTTCTTACCTACATTTTCCAGATGAGGAAACCAAGATGCAAAGTCCCACAGTTGTGGAGACCAAATTCAGACTAGACACTGCACTCTTAATTAACCACTAATCAATATGGCCATACTACATATTTTCTTTCCTATAGTCCAGGTTATCATCAAGTTCTTTGCTATTCTAGATGTTTTATATATAATATTCAGCATACCAGAGTGGTTAAAAATATAAATATAGACACAAGCATACCTCGTTTTATTGCATTTCACTTTATTGCACTTTGTAGATACTGCACTTTTTACAAATTGAAACTTTGTGGCAACCCTGCATTGAGCAAGTCTGTCAATGCCATTTTGCCAACAGCATTTGCTCACTTCATGTCTCTGTGTCACATTTCAAAAACTCACAATAATTCAAATTTTTTCATTATTACTGTATTTGTTGTCATAATCAGGGATTTTTTTTTTAATTTTTTACTTATTTATTTTTCCCCCAAAGCCCCAGTAGATAGTTGTATGTCATAGATGCACATTCTTCTAGTTGCTGTACGTGGGACGTGGCCTCAGCATGGCCGGAGAAGGGGTGCGTTGGTGAATGCCTGGATCCGAACCCGGGCCGCCAGCAGCGTAGCATGCACACTTAACCACTAAGCCACGGGGCCGGCCCATGATCAGGGATCTTTGATGTTACTATGATAATTGTTTGGAGGCACCATGAACTGCATCCATATAAGACAGCAAACTTAATAAATGTTGGGTGTTCTGACAGCTGTGGCCCATCTCTCTCCCTCTCCTAGTGCCTCCCTATTCCCTGAGACACAACAATATGGAAATTAGGCCAATTAATAACCCTACAATGGCCTCTAAGTGTTCAAGCAAAAGGAAGAGTCGCATGTCTCTCCTGTAAATCAAAACCTAGAAATGATTAAGCTTAGTGAGGAAGACATGTCAAAAGCTGAGATAGGCTGAAAGCTAGGCCTCTTACGCCATACAATCAGCCAAGTTGTGAATGCAAAGGAAAAGTTCTTAAAGGAACTTAAAAGTGCTACTTCAGTGAACACGCAAATAAAAAAGCAAAATAGCCTTACCACTGATATGGAGAAAGTTTTAGTGGTCTGGGTAGAAGACCAAACCAGCCACAACATTCTCTTAAGCCAAAGCCTAATCCAGAGCAATACCCTAACTCTCTTCAATTCTATGAAGCCTAAGGGAAGTGAGGAAGCTTCAGAAGAAAAGTTTGAAGCTAGCAGAGGTTGGTTCATGAGGTTTAATGAAAGAAGCCATGTCCATAATGTAAAAGGTCAAGGTGAAGCAACAAGTGCTGATGTAGAAGCTGCAGCAAGTTATACAGGAGAGCTAACCAAGATAATTAATGAAAGTGGCTACACTATACAACAGATTTTCAATGTAGACGAAACAGCTTTATATTGGAAGAAGACACCATCTAGGACTTTCATAGCTAGAGAGAAGAAGTCAATGCCTGAATTCAAAGCTTCAAAGGACAGGCTGACTCTCTTGTTAAGGGCTAAGGCAGCTGCTGACTTTAAGTTGAAGCCAATGATCATTTACCCTTCTGAAAATCCTAGGGACCTTAAGAATTATGCTAAATCTCAGATTCAATGCAATCCCAATCAGAATCCCAATGACATTCTTCACAGAACTAGAACATAGAATCCTAAAGTTTATATGGGACAACAAAAGACCTCGAATAGCCAAAGCAATCCTGAGAAAAAAGAACAAAACTGGAGGCATCACAATACCTGACTTCAAAATATACTACAAAGCTGTAATAATCAAACCACATGGTACTGGCAGAAAAACAGACACACAGATCAAGGGACCAGAATTGAAAGTCCAGAAATGAAACCACAAATCTATGGACAGTTAATCTTCACCAAAGGAGCCAAGAACATACAATGAAGAAAGGAAAGTCTCTTCAACAAATGGTGTTGGGAAAACTGGACAGCCACATGCAAAAGAAGGAAAGTGGACTATTATCTTACACCATACAAAACAATTAACTCAAAATGGATTAAAGACTTGAATGTAAGACCTGAAACCATGAGACTCCTAGAAGAAAATATAAGCAGTACGCTATTTGACATTGGTCTTAGCAGCAGCTTTTCAAATACCATGTCTACTCAGGCAAGGGAAACAGAAGAAAAAATTAACAAATGGGACTACAGCAGACTAAAAAGCTTCTGCAAGGCAAAGGAAACCATGAACAAAACAAAAAGACAACCCACCCACTGGGAGAAAATATTTTCAAATCATATATCCGATAAGGGGTTAATCTCCAAAATATATAAAGACCTCACACAACTCAACAACAAAAAAACAAACAACCGGATCAAAAAATGGGCCGAGGATATGAACAGACGTTTTTCCAAAGAAGATATAAAGATGGCCAACAGACACATGAAACGATGTTCAGCACCACTAATTATTAAGGAAATGCAAATCAGTACTACAAGAGATATCACCTTACACCTGTCAGAATGACTATAATTAACAAGTCAAGAGAGGAGAAGTCAACATGGCAGCATAAGCAGACTCTGAACTCACCTCCTCCCGAGTACACAGCCAATTTACAAATACTCGTGGAAAAATTACCCCTGAGAGAGAACCGAAAACTGGATAAGAGGAACTCCTGCAACAAAGGACAATCCTAACTGAAGTGGAAGAGGCAGAAACTCCCTTCTAGAGAGGAAAAATGCTGACTTCACAAGCCACAGTGCTTCACGGGCACCCAGGAGCAGCCCACAGGTACACAGCCCCCCCTGGAGGCATGGGACCCTGAGCTGGGAGTGCCCACGCTGTGGGCATTTTGTGGACCCATCACAATCGAGACGAGTGGCATAATATCTAACTATGCCTGCTACTAAAACACTGAGGAGTACCCCCAGAAAAGCTGGTTCACAAGGAAATTAAAACCGGCTCTTAAAGGGCCCACACACAAAGTCACCCATTTCAGAAAGCAGCCTAAAATCACCAGAAAGAAAGGTGCACAGTGCTTTTGTGAAAAGAGACTCACCTCATAGGCTCTGAGTGCATTGCAGTGACAGGTGAGACCTCTCCAGGGACTGGGACATTGGCGGCAGCCATTGTTGTGGCCCGGTGTGGCCTTGCTGACACGGACACCATTGGAGTTCTCCCTGGAGCCTGCTAGCCCAGGGTCTGCCCCACCTACTAGAGCACCAATTTAATCCAGCTCAGCCAAGGCAGGCAGCCCACCCTAGGGACTGGCCCCACACAACAACAAGCCCTCAGGCAACTTGTAGGCCTGCATAGATTGGTGACTGCAATCTCTGCAGCCTGGAGACTGAGCAGACTTCAGTGGGGCAGGGCATGCACAAGGAGCGGGTGGAGAGTGTGGGGCAGTGGTGGAGTGTGTGGGGCTACCGCCATGGAGAGACTGGGTCCACTTCAGGTAGTCGGGGCGTGCATGCAGGGCAGGACTGTGTTGACTGTGTGTGTGGACCTGTGGGTGGAGGGGCTTGTCAGCTGCAGAAGATTTGTGCTTCTCTAAGACCCACATATGGGGTTTGCCTCACCTTCCAAAGCCTGAAACAACTGGGTGCTCCCATGCCTGAGGCCAGCCCCACCCAGCTGCAATCCTCAGAGGGCTGACAAGAGACCTAAAGGCTGGAGGCTTACAGCAATTGTAAGCCCCTAAGCCTAACAACCTGCCACACTGGGGACCTAGTCGCTTAAAAGAAATACTGCAACACAAATGTGGCATTAGAACTTGCAGCCAACTGTGCTGGGGCTCCCCACACCTGATAAAGAGACTGAAGAGCCCACAACAACTACAAGCAGCTGAACATTACAACAGCTGGCCAGGAACATAACTCAGCCTCCTTGCGCTCCTACAGGGAGAGCAAACACGCCAAAACAGAAGGACACATGTAGCCCACATAGGGGTCACTCCTGGAACATTGAGAACTGAGGGAAGCACACTGCAGGCCTCCTAAGGCATCACTTCTATAAGGTCACCTATCCAAGTGCAGGAGAAGTAGCTGACCTACCTAATACACAGACACAAG